CAGGCACACAATCAAGGTACAGCAGCTTAGCAATTACCACCCATCAGCTAACCCAAGCTGAAGAAATAGCGTTTGCATTGAGATGATATGCAAGATACGAGCTCCCTGTCAGCAAGAGTGCACAAAATAGTTTAAATCAGTGTTTACATTGTCTGAAAAGCACAACCAAGCTCACAGTAGCACTCCATACACGCCCATCCGAGTTTATGCTTCTGTCACTGGTTCCCTACCAGTGCTTGTTGCTGTGTTTACTCGTGCTGCCAAATCTGTAATGTGTAGATCTACCATAACACTGCAGCACTATAAACAAATGCATTATCATGATTTTCTTTTTTAAAATGAACAAAAGCCTGAAAAAAAGAATGTCAAAGCTTGTGAAATGCCGGTGAATCTATATGCAAGCAGTCTTCCGTGAAAGATTGTCAGCATTGCCATTTGAGCACTGCTGATGACCAGCAGAAGAGCTGGTTCACCTGCAGGGACAGCGTGCAGCCTTTGTGAGCAGGTGTGGTTGTGGTGGTCTGGTACAGGACAGCAGAGCCAAAAGGAATGCCTCAAATGGGAATTTATTGACATTTGGAAATAGAATAAGCATTGATTCCGATCTGAGACAAGAAATGGCAGGAACTTATTCTCCTGTGGGGCAGTAGCTAAGCTTTGTGAGTGATGATGGCCTACAGAACAGCACATCACAAAGGTAAAACCTCACGATAGTTTCATATATCTTTGAAACATTTGTAGAACTGCTTGGGAGTGATGCGTTGTAGCTCATAATTAGATTTCCCATTTCTCTCTGAGCAAGGAGGCACAGTTCCGACCATAAAATCCCTGGAACTGAAATCACTGCTTGAACTAAATCTTCAAAGCTCAGATCTGGAAAATCAAGTAGAGCTGATCTAGATTCTGTTATCTACCAACTGCACTCATTCTGTTGTGTGCAGCCTATCTAGCACGGTGACTAGCCATCATTCAGGCTGCTGACCTAAAATCTTTCCAGAAAAATGCACTGGAATAGCTGAAGGCCACAGGACAAGTTGTTCCTCAGCAAAGATTCAGCAGGGAGCTGAAATACCTCTGCTCTGCTGCAAAAGATTTTTTTCAAAGCTGAAAATAGAGCATGATATGTACAGCATCAACTTTGAGTTGAGAGGCTCCCCCACAGATAGAAGCTTTTGTTCCAAAGGATGATGCTTATTGTGTGCAGCGTTATAATGAATGCAATTATTCTGTAACTTCTATCAAACATGGGAAACAAAGGAAATGCTGAACTGAAGTTGACTCGTGATCCCTCCTCACACCTTCACCTGATAGATCTGCTTCATCAGGAAGTTTCAGCACATTGCACTGTGGTTATGGTGACAGAAATAACAGCATGTGTAAAAGTCTGATAGCGCAGATAGCACAGCCTATCCTCACTGCCATTGCTGCTGCTTCAAGACCTCTAAACAGTATTCTATTCAACACAGCACATGAAGGGCTGATTCCAAACAAATGATCTGAGCATAGGATTTGACAAGTATGTCGTGTTTACCTGAACATTCACCAAGAAATATTTGAAGGTCTGAAACAGCTACTAACACACCAAGTATATGAATGTTAAGACCTGAACTACTTTCTCTGTGCCATTTCAGGCACGAACTGCTTGTTTCTGCACACACTCTCATACAGCTGTAAAGGAAAGCGGTGCTTTTGGCACTCTCAGGAGTTCACTCCATGTGTTTTTCATGCGCTGTTGAAGAGGCTTCATCTCAAGCTGGCCTCCCTTATTGAGTCCTGTGTCCCCCATCGACTTCATTAGGAGCAGTGTGCACAGAGGATTTCTGACAGTGCTAAAAATGTCAGATGGAATATCGAGCGGCGAGGAAGCCGTATCAGTAAAGAAAGCTCTCTGGAACAACCAGGCATTGACAGCAACACCTCGGAGTGCTGCACATAGCACACATTTACAGATAAAACGTGTACATTTTTTAAAGCATGTATATTTCTTCTATTCCAGTTTTCAGGAGCAGTAAAAATCTTCTCCCTCTTCAATGCAACCCTAACAAATTTCCAAGCAGTGAGTGTGTTCCTCTGTTGTCACTGTCAAACAGGAACAAAGGATGGCCTTAAAGTATATGTTATCAATGTAATAATGGTATTTGTACCACAAAGATCATGAGGTACCGCAAAGATTATCTGAAACAGAAAACCTCGCCAAAGGCTGCAGGCAGCATTTTTGTTTGCAGGAGCCCGAGGGGACCCTGGTCCAAAGCAAAACCCTTTACCCCTATGTGCAAAGTATAACTGTGGTCATTAAATATTTCTGAAAGCGGGTTCTTTGCGCTTTGCCACAGGCACACCAAAATCTGTTCCTTCTTTGCAGACTGGCAGGCATGCTGTGTGTGCGCTGTGACTTGGGCCGGCAGAAAGTAGCATTCCAGGGAGACAGAGAATACATCAGGAGAAAAAGAGAAAAAGCAGAGTTTTCTAGATAAATGCTCTGACAACAGGGGCATGCCTGCCACAGCTACCCATCTCTATAGGTCAGGTTTTATGCTACCACCTGTCTCTTTTATGCTTGCCCTGTAAAATCAGTGTCAGGCGCAAGGGATTCGTGAATCTTTGACTCTTCTCCCTTTTAAAGGTCAGGGCTCCACTTTTTAATTGAAAAAGCAAAAGGTGAATGAACCTGGCTGTGAACGCCACTGCCCTTATTATGTGTGCTCAAAGACTGCCAAACTACATTGAGGCTTTTTGGGAGTGCAGAGAGCAGGGTGCCATCACAAACCTACAATGTCTCTCCAAGAAGAGAGGCATTGCTTGAGCCACAGAAAGGCAGAGGCAATTGCAGGACTCACCAGCAGCTGGGTGGGCAGGGCAGCCACCTTCTGACTCTTATTTTCCTTTTGATAAACTGTGAACATAGCAGCTGCATGTTTCCTCCTTGGATTTTACCAAAGCTCTTGTACACATATACTCTTGTCACCTGTTCCATCTCTGTGCGTGCTATTCGGACTTGAATGTAGGGGGTTTGGGTTGGTTTATTTTTCCAAAGCCAGGCTTGGCATCATCTGCTGAATATATATCTACATCTCTAATGCTTTCCCTGCCTTCTTCTCTAGTTTCTCTCTTCTGAAGAGCCATTTTACCTTTAGCTTTAGTAAATTTGCCTGTTAAGGCGCTTCTGTAGTTTTATGGCACACATTTATCTAAACTGTCACTGCTGCCTCCAGTGTGAGGCTGCTCCTTGATACCTTTATGATAACTGTCCTCAAAGTTATTGTGTAATATGTTGTTTATCTGAGCTGAAATATTAGGAAGCGTTAGATCCAAGCTTTAACTCTACCATTTTTCAGCCACCTTACTGTCTATGTATGGTCATATTCACCACAACATTTCTTCATTTATTTTTTTCTCAGAATTTTTTCTCCAAGATGCTGTTGGAAATTTCCCTTATATGTTGAGGATTATAGTAAAAAAAAAATGCGTTCATGATTTCTATTCTACAAGAAACCTGCAAAAAATTCATCAGCATTTTTTTTTTCTTTTTTCCCTTTGCTTAGCATAAATGTGTTTGAATGTGATATAATATGAAGACTTGAATGGCCCATAATTTCCAGATATAGTTAGGTGGGTCTTATTGCTCTTTCTCCAAAGCTTGCAGAGCTTTATAGCTAGCAATCCTTTCCGTTCTTCCTATTTTTTTTTTAATATAACTCATTTTATATTTTTCATTTCATATATTTGATTCACAAAATTTCTTCTTGAAGATGTGTCATTAATGTGGCAAAAAATCCCAACTGATTGCATGTAGGTAGAAGACCACATTACGTACTTACAGCCAGATTTAGACTAACAGTGAACTAATTTTAGGATTCCCTATTTTATGCAGCATTGTAATGTTCTGCTTGACCCTTTCTTTAATGCCTTGGTGTTTCAACTGCACTGACTGACTTCTGAGTGTTAAGGAGATATATCATCACTTTCTCTGATGGCTATTTTAAAAAGATTCTGCCTTTATTGCCTGTTGCCATCACAGGAATCATAGCACTCCTTACCCCTTGCTACTTCTATTCCATTTTCTTATTTCCCATTCTTCTAGCTGTTAAGGGCTGTATTTGTTAGCAGAAGTGCCTGTCTTGGTTCATCTTCTGATTTCATGAAGAGAAGAAAGAATATATCTTCTGCCACAAAGACGTTCTGCTATGAGGTGTATTTGTGGATTGCCTATTACCTCCTTGCATTTCTCCATTTACTGGTCTGCAACAGGAGAATAATAATACTCACTTGGAGCTTAATTGCGTATTGTTGGAAATGTATTCAAGACCTCTGGGGAAAACCTGACTAACAATTCTTCCTCCGCTGTTTTTTTTGCCCTCTCTTTGCTCACTGTTAGCTATTTTCTTTCCAGTCCTAACACTGTTTTCTCTTGCTTTTCTTCTACTGAAGAGAGATACAACCATCTGCATGGGCAAATCTTTGTTCTGTCGGTGCATTGGTACTTGGCTGTACAGTAGTCTCTCTAAGGACGTCTCATTCCTCTGCCTTTGCCAAAAGTAGGGAAACTAAGATGCTCACTAAAATGAGGTCCTGTGACTTCATCATTTTCCAGCTCTCCCGGGGCAATATCTGCTAATACCTCTCTGACAGATCACCCCATCAAATATTTCCCCATTCACTTTACGTGGTGAAATGTTTCCAATTAGTCTGTTACCCATCAGTATTCCTCATTCTTTAAAGGTAGTTTAATCCAAGCCTTATGGATTATAGGATGCACAGCCTGACCAAGAGCACCCCAAAGTGAAAACGCACAGGGGCGATGCTTTCTCTGCCCTCTCCAGCGAGAGCTGCACTGGAGGAACAGCAATCAGCAGGCACGAAGCTGAGCTGCTCTTCATGGCAGCTCACCCACCCATCTGTGCTCAGACCCGCTCAGCTCATTGCACGGGACTCCCCCACCAAGCAGATTCCCAAGCTGGGATCTGCAGCAGCCCTACCAGCCCTCCGCCACCCATACTCACAGCACACAGAGGCAGTAGACCCCCGGGATGCTCTCGCTGTCCCGCAGCAGGTAGCTGCCATCAGCACCCGCCGCCAGCAGCAGCTTCTCCCCAGTCTCGCGAGTGATGCCCCCATGGTAGATGGGCAGCGCTTCCATGGCGGGGCCAGCTCTGTCTGCACTGCTGCCACTGAACCCAGCACGGTAGTGGTGCTGCTGAGATAAACAGGATGTGTTCACACTTCTCAACCTCCGCAAAGGGCAAGGCAGCACTGAGGGAAGAGTGAGGAACGAACATTACATCTTTTGCTTTTTTTGTTCAAGCACTGGGTTTTTTTTCCCTTGCCACTTTTTGTCTTCCTGTCTCGCAGGCTATGACAGCATCACAGCCATCTCACAGCCCATCCTGCCCAGGTGTCCTTGCTCAGCCCACGCAGGATGTGGTGCCTGGCATGAGTTGAAGTGCTGACAAGAAAGGGCAAGTGGGATCCTGAGGACTCCGCTAATCGGAGATGGAGTTCTTAAACCTCTGTTTTTGCAAAATCCTGAGAAGTGAGAAACCAAAGGCAGCAAGCTTGGGCTTGTGGCCACACCAGGCTTCTGGTCTCAAGCTGCAGGCTTGAGTGTCCAGTCACAGCCCAGGCCCCAGGCTGATTTACCTCTGAGTGGGTTGTTTGATATTTAATCACTGCTAGCACTTGTTCCTGCTGGAGGCAGGCAGGCCGCAGTGCAGGCAGGGAGGCCCCACACATCCTTCCTGACACCGTGATCACTGCCGCTACCCGCGCATGCAAACCCTGAAATCCAGAGAGATCTCTGAGAAAAAAGCTGCTCCCAGCTCCTGTGCTCACACAGTTCTTCAGCGTGCTTCCTACTCAAAAGCTCATGGCTGAAACTTTGCTTTTTGTATCCCCTAAAGCATCCTTGCTGCAGCCGTGTTCCCACAGCTGGGTGCAGGGGGAAAGGGCATGAACTGAAACACAGCAGTAAGTACGGGTTGTACTTGCTATGGAGTTGCTCTGAACGGAGGTTTTTCCCCTGCAGGATGGCAGTTCCAGCAGCATGCCACTGCGTGCAGTCTGGTGTGGCTGCACCCTCTCATCAGCACCAGGCTCCAGCATCCCCAGAGCATCATGTCCTGGCAGTGTCTGCTCCCTGCCTGGTACCAGGGGGCTGAGGTAGGAAGACCTCCTCTTAAATTAGTCTGTCAGCTTCCACTATCATGTTCGATGATTCTTCTGTCTGGTGATGCAGGTGCTGCTTACCTCATTTTCTGAACTTAAGGACTGGGCTATCCTGGTCATTTTTTTTTAATGGATTGTTAAAGCATTTGCACAACAAAGTAGAGTTGCTGCCTGCTGCACGTGTGACTGATGTGGATGGTGACAAGGACTAAGCAAAGGACTGTTCCCTGCTAAAGCTGCTGCCTACCTTTTCTCCTTTTCCAAACTACTTGCACTACTGTGGATTTCTTCTGACTGTTTCCAGTGTCCTAACCTATCTTTGACATTGATAGCCAATTTCAGAAAAAGGTTTCTGGCGTTAGTTGGAAAGGAGAAACCATCAGAGTTGTCCAGTGCTGCAGATCTCATTTTCCCCCTCATCGGTTTTCAACTGAAGCAGACATAGAAAATCATAAAACTTGTGACTACAAGAAGATCTCTTAATAAGGGAGTGACTGCATTAATTCAGACCAATCTACCTCCTACCAGCAGCTTGATGAGGTTTTTACAGAATAAAAAAAAAGATCTGCAAACAACCACCTGCTTTTGCAGGTAAGGAACCCACAAAAATCCAGCTACCCAGTCCTGAAGCAAGGGCTTCCCTACACGTCCTTTTATGGGCACACTAACAAGGGAATATGCAGCTTCAAGAAGTAATGGAAATACTGAATTCTGCAACAGTGTGCTGATGGTCCCTTTGAGCACCCATGCCTGCCCCTGTAGGATGCTGGATGTCCCTTTGTCTTGCTCGGTTTGCATGGTATTCAGTGTATTCTAGACACCGTTGTTTTGGTCCTTCACTAAATCAGTCCAGCTGGCAATCCTTGGAGAACACTGTAAAAACTTATCTAAAAAATACATGAAGGAAAGGAAATACTTAACAGCGCTCTGAAATATTTGGCCATGAAAAGCAGGCTTAGAAAGACAGGGCTGCAGAGACCTCTTGGGTCATCAAGTCTAGTTCCCTGCTATCTTAGCCAAACACAGCACATAATCCCTTTCAGAAACTCATTATACTCTGTCTTAAAAGTAACTTGGGTGTTTTTGTTGTTGTTGTTGTTGTTGTTGTTCCCTCTGTTCTCATTGGAAAGCAATTGCAGAACATCACTATTCTGTTGTTTGGAAACCTGCCTCCAATTTCTATCCTAAATTTATTCATGACCAATTTATACTCATTTGCTTTCGTGCCAATGTTGTCCTTTGGTTTAAATAGAGGTTTTCTCTTTGTGGAGCTCATGCCCATGCAGTATTTATAGTGCCTCTCTTGCCCTTCGTTTTGCCAAGCTACTCTCACACTTAAGGCTCACCCTTCCCATGGTCACTGTTATCTTTTTTGGTAGCTTCCCAGATGTGAAGTGAATCACTGGTGAGAAGCATGTGCTGTCCTGGCTGCCTTCTAACTTTTCCCCAGGTAAAATACCTTTCTTTGTATGCTCTGTGCCTTTCTCCATCGTAGTAAGTTCTTACCAATGAGTACCCAAATGTGCATGCACGATCTCGCACTCAAGTCCTTCTCAATTTCATCCAATTTATATTATCCCAGTTCTCATGGTCACTCGGTTCCTCCCAAATGAGAAGTCTTTACAGTGACAGTAGTTCCCAACCTGATGCCACCGGTAAATTCAAGTAGCACATGCTTATTTTTTTTTATGCCATCATCATTAATAAAAAATGCTGAATTATATCAGGCTCAAGACTAACACTTGGGAAACTGCACCACTTTCTCTCAGACTCGATCCTCTCCCCCTACTACTTTCTTATCCACTTCCCAATTTTTTGCACAAATCTCTTATTTTATCTAATAATTTCCCATATGGCACTGTACCAATTGTGGTACTTAAGTTTAGATAATTAGCTCTAAGTGTTTCCTTTGTCTATAAAAATAAATTACGATGGTATTTTAGGCACCGGTACTTGTAAAAGTGCCTGAGAAGTGGAGGCAGGGAAGGCAAAATAAAATCACTTTAAGGTTTTTGAACACCTGCAAAGATTTGAGCTGATTTTCATTTTCAGATGAGCTGCTTCATTCATCCCTAGTGATGACATTTTCATACATTGTTGAATTTTATAACAAATCTGGATATTATAACATGAATGAAGAAGCATCATTAAAATTTGCAGATATTGCTATTTGACTGAAAATAAGAACGACCTTTAGGACCTGTAAGAAATTAATGTTACTGCAAAACTGTTATAGAAAGGCCTTGTAGTTTTGCTGATGCAGCAGTAGTATCATAAAGGCCATCGCTGTAGAAGTCCTGAAGAAGCAGCTTCAGAATTGCCAGCTATTGCAACGTTTTGGAGAAAAAATTAATTGGCAAAAAGCCACATTAAAACGCAACTAACTTTAAATATAATTTTCATTATTTCTTGTCACTTTCATTTTTAGTGTAATCTAACAAAATAATCAGAACAACCGTATAGAATAGTATTTGCAGACAGCTTTGTTATTCGCATAAAAAAGTAATACTGAGATTCATTAAAATATTGGTTTCGCTACAGAGTACCTGCAGAATCACCATTATCACATTTCCTTTTTGAGCTGAAATGAGATTGAAAAATGCAGTTACAATTAGCTAATGAGAAATTAACTGTAGGATTCTGAGCATCAACAGAGGAGAATCCAAGGACAACTTGTCGTAGGGCTTGTACATCAGCATACAATTCTGCAGCCTTCATGTTAGGCATGACGCTCTGTGGATGTTGCTTGGAAAAAAATAAAAAATAAAAAGGAAGAAAAAAATAGAAGGTGGTTATAATAAATAGAGTTTGGATTCGGGAGCAGGTTCCAGACTTCATACTAGAGGATGCATAGGTTGGTCAGTTCACATTTGCTTTTGAGAAAGGCCAACGTGTAAGACTGGACTGTCGCAGAGCTGCCCAAATGTTAGGGTAACCACAAAGGAGGTTGCAGAGCCCTTTAAATCAAGCAGAACTCTCCTCACCTGGGAACCTCAAGTCCTCCGGTGGCACTTTAGGTGCTGTCTGGAGCTCTGTACTGGGCTCAGAACTTGATAAGATAAACTTTCTCCTCACTGGCAAAGCGGGCAAACGTCTGGTACTGCCTGTGGGAGTTGGATCTGGAGGAGACTGAGAGTACAAAAGGTTAAGGCCCTTTATGAATGAAACCCTTTATGCTCCTCAACATTTTTCTTCTGAACACAGATAAGCACACGCATACCATAAGTGATATCATTTCACTGAACTTTAACAACGCTATTTCCTCTGTGTGGCCTCACAGCTTACCTGTGCAGTTGTTTTGAATGTTTTTTGAGTGAGATAACACTAAAATTGAAAGCTACATAATATGATGACATTCATATTAGAAGTTATCTGTGTTTTAATGCGGTTTCTTATACCAGTTACTATTTCATACTTCTTTCTCCAGCAGCATTGCAACAGCTGGCTATTTTGCAGGTGCGTTTGCATTACCCAAGCAGAGATGCCATTTGCGATAATGTCAGCACGAACAAAGCTACTCTTAGGAGCTAGCACTTTTTTATTTTCCGCTATTACCCTTTTGACAACACTTTCCCGTAAAATTCAGCAGTGCGCGGGTAGTCATGAGCGTTACGCACCCAGCTGCTTTGGAGACCAGGGCCTCCACATCCTCACGATTTAACCGAGGCAACTTCAAAGTCAAAAGGGCTAAAGCATGTAATGACACTCTCTGGGTGGAGAAAATGTCTACGCTGGAGCTCTTCCTGGATACATTCCTGTGTGAGCAAGTCTGGAGTTGCACATCAGCTTTAAAAACGAGATTTTCACACCACAAGCACGCACAGTAGTAAAAATTGATTTGCTGACATCCCAGCTGAGTTCCTAACGGATATTTATCTGAATTACAACAGCACCATGTAATTAGGTATAAATAAGGGCCTTTGTTCTGGAGGGGAGGAAAGTTTATCAACTCTGAACCATATGCAATTGCGTGTCTAATCTCTCCCCGCAATTATTTCAAATGCACATCCAGATGATAGCATTTATATTCATTCCGAGATTCACTGAGTTTCAGGCCAGAAGGGATCATTATACCATCTGGCCTGACCTCCTGGATATCACAGGCCATTACATTTCCCCAATTACCT